AAAAATCTTAAAAATTAATAAAGAAGCACACGTGGTGAACATCATTTTGAATTTGGTCCGAAATGATAGATATGTCCAACACTGTATGTATGTATAAATATGTATAATCAGTGACTTTAAAGAATTGAATTCTTGTAAAAATGACATAACATTGCATTATAACTTTTTTTTATAAAGTTTTTTTTATGTGTTTACGTGTTTAAATAATGCTACGATCTTGGTTTTAAACTAGGTATATGTTACCAAAAACATTCTTCTAAGTACCCAACCCGTCTAAGTACCTCAAAAAGCTTATATTTTTTGTGAGGTTCTTGGGTGGGTTTTACTGTATTTCAAATGTTACTACGACAAATTTGATATAAATAGCGTTTCCCAATTCGCAGAGTTCTGCTATTTTGTAACCCAAATTTTGTCAAAACTCACTTATATTTTATGTAGCGTCATGTGTTGGATTATATATTTAAATATGTAGATACTAACAAATAATCTTTTTGAATGAAGGGCTACTTAATTTTTACACAAGTGTAAAAAACCTTTTTCCAAGTCTTGACTTTTTCATTTTATTCAGCAACTTTTATTGAGCTTGAGGCCGTTTTTCATTTCATTTTATAACATTTTGTCATACAAATGCCACGTCACGCCAAATTGGAAATGTATGTACGTATACACTTTACCTTCAGAAAATCAAAACAAATTTAATAAAACACAACTGTTTAAGCGACTTATGCATTTCCCGCATAAACAAAGAACAGCGAACACACACACGCACTTGTATATTGCACTCCCGCCCAAAACCAAGTGCAGCGAATAAACACACGCACTTGTGCTTAAAAATAATTCGTTCGTTCTTCATTGGGTATGCATTTTTAATGCACTTCTCAACTGCCGCAGAACAAAACCTACTAAAGTAGTTAATTGCTGGCACTCCAAATCATGCTCAACAATCTTGCTCGATGCATCACAACTCTTCCGGAGTTGCTTGATGGGGCTCTGTATGACTTTCAGCATACAGAGGTGGTACAAGAGCTACCATTGGCCACGGCGCCTACCCAATTTTCTAAACTTAAATACATAACCGATGCTCAACTTGCTTGACGCATCAACACACAATGCTCAACAATCTTGCTTGATGCATCACAACTCTTACTCCTCCGGAGTGGTTTTAAACAGCAAAAGCCAAAGCGCTACAGGCTGTTGGGGCTCTGTATGACTTTCAGCATACAGAGGTGGTACAAGAGCAGGAGCATGAATAACTCAGTGTGAGGGCAGGACCAGGATGAATGTATTTGCATAAAAATTTATTAAAGCAAAAATGTTTTGGGTAGGCGTCGGAGCCAATGATAACCATCAGTTACCACCTCTGCATGGTTGTAAGTCATGCAGAGTCCCTACGGCTTGTAGCGCTGTGGCTTTGCCGCTTAAACTCTGTAAGAGTTTTTAGGGGTGTGCGTCAAGCGGGAGTGTTGAGCACCGGTTATTTATTCAAGTTCAAAAATTGGGTAGGCGCTGTGGCCAATGGTAGCTCTTGTACCAGCTCTGTATGCCGAAGGCAAGACAGAGCAGTGATGCCAGACATTCTCTGTTAAAAATCCCACGAAAATGGGGAAAAAATCCCTCAATTACCCACAGCTTAAAAATGTATCCCTCAAAATTCCCAACGAATTTAAACATATACATGTTTCAGTAGTAAAGAGTAAAATTCATATAAAATAATAATAATAATGATTGGCGATTACACATATGTGCTTCTCCTCCAATATGTGGCGTGCCCCTTGATGTTGTCACACAAAGGGGAGCGACCTACAGTTTTACGCCGACTCCGATGAGAAGCTGTTTTTCATGGCAGGAATATACTCTGAGGATTGCCATTGCCTGCCGGCTTCACTTTCATTTTTTTGCTCACTCACTAAGGGCCTAAAAAAATTTTTTGGTGACTTTAAAATTGAAGCACATTCATGTGCTATTAACCATTTCATCAGATAATTTGTTCCGCTTTTTACATGAAACACCAGTTACAACTGAAAAGATTCTTTCTTACTCAGCGCTTGAATTGGTTAACGTAAGAAAATTTTCGAAATTGTCCTTATACTTTTTAACAATTATATACCATTTCACTCTACATCACATCTTCAGAAAGATTAATTACGTAAGAATGTCGAATATTCTTGAATTTGGATCAATTATGCAACAATAACTGCATCAAAAGAAAATCCCTTATATGTTTGAAATGCCCCTTTTTTCCCTTTTAATAATTTTTGTTGCAAAATATCCCTCAAATAGGGAAATTACCCACAATCTGGCATCACTGAGACAGAGTCCCGTGAGACAACTCCGAGCAAGTTTGTTGAGCATGATTTGGACTGCCAGCAATTAACTACTTTAGTTGGTTTTGTTCTGCGGCAGTTGAGAAGTGCATTAAAAAATGCATACCCAATGAAGAACGAACGAATTATTTTTAAGCACAAGTGCGTGTGTTTATTCGCTGCACTTGGTTTTGGGCGGGAGTGCAATATACAAGTGCAACAACTATTTAAAATATAACACCGTGCGACAAAAAAAATATATCAAAACACACGAAAGAATCGATATGCTCACATAACCATGGGCTAAATATAGTAAAACGGCGTTTTTAGTTTTTCACTCTGACGTCAGGATTTTTTTTCAAAGGACTTTGAAGTTTTAAAGATATGATTAACTGGAAAAATTATTTTAAAAAGTCAGTGCAATGTAGAATAACAATATGGGTATGAAATATTATTATTTTTGTATTTTTTGTGCTGGGCAGGAGGTCTGGAAGGACGAGTTCCAGAGCAGCACTGCCTGGGCGGGTGGAAAGCACTAGTTTCCACGCCGCGCCTTCGATTCTCTATATTTAAGTAATTACAATCCAGTAGGCTGTTTTCGGTCAGAATGGACAAGTTTCCAAGCCGCACTGACATAGGTGTTGGGTAGACGATCTGAAAGGCGAGTTCCAGAGCCGACATTGATATATTGGGGATATCCAAATATATTATATTGTTAATCATTTGGTAATATCGGAAAAATCATTTCTTTTTAGTATTCTGGCATATCTCGAGCTAAGAAGGTCCCTCGCTAGTCAATTTGGATGGTTCATTAACCGTACTGAGTAACTGATGCTTTCGTATTGAATGTATCCAATTGATCATGAAATTTTGTTTGCGGTCATCTGGAAAACCAACTGAACGGTACTATTTGTACTTCACGTTTGGAAATACATGTATACATTTGAAAAGGTGTGTCTCTTTGAAAGTATTAGATTTGCTTGTGAGGAGAGGTAAATCAAAGTTGCTCCACTCTGGTTACTATTTTTTCAAACTCGTTAAAGTGCATCTTATCCAAAGTAACTTCAATATTTGAATTTATGCTTATTTGCTTTTTAATTACAAGTACATATACGTAATGCGCAAAAAAAATATATATCTTTATTAGCCATTTCGTTGTCGATATTTCCGTTATTCAATTTATCGATATTATTTTATTAGATATATCGGCATCTGATATTGTGAATTTAGAATATCGCGATACCGATACCTAAGAGTATGTGTTCGATCAGTAATCCCATGGCTAGCGATACTTCTCTCCTTTTCACGCATAGAAGCTCTCGCGACTTACTCATGTCTACTATGGCTACATAAGTTTGGCTGTGTTGCATGTACTTGAGTACTCCCTCCTTGTACGTGCTTCTTTTGGAAGAATTTCCTAATGTGAGCTTACAGTAAGCTATCGGCATGTCTAACCTCTTCCAGGCCGGTGAAAGTGGTGCGGAAGCACCTTTTCTTGCCATCTCGTCTGCTTTCTCATTTCCTGGTATGTTACAATATCCCGTTGCCTATACCAGGTATAAGGAGAACTGGTCTGCCATCTCATGTAGCGATTTATGGCAGTTGGCTACCGTATACGAATTAGTAGTGATGGAAGTATCCTAATAGCCTCTTGACTGTCTGAGTAGACAGAAATTATTTTTGTTGTGACCGAAATATGACGCAGACTGTCAGCAGCTTATTGTATAGCCGCTGGTTCGACCGGAGAGACACTGCAATGGTCTGGGAGGCGGAAGCACAACCCCGGCGAGAATTGTTCAGCGTATAAGGAGTATATTACCCTGCTACCAAGTTTAGATTCATCATTGTGGAACCGAATAGAATTTTCATTCCCGGGACTCTTTTGACCATGATTCTCTACTTGATATCTCTGTGTGATACCTTTTACTGAAAGTCAGCGTAGTTGGGTCGTTCTTAAAAAACATGACCAATTGGTGTCCCCAGACTTTACTATTTTATATTTTGTTTCTTCAAAAAGAAAATAGAAAAATATCTGCATTTTTATAAATTATTATCGATTCTACGTAACTATATTATAAAAAAAAAATAATTAATTATCTGAAAATAANCCGCTTTTCTCGTAAGTTTCGGTTACTGAGAATGGTAGTATGACCACCTCTCTGTGATTTCCAGATTTTCAGTTCTTGCAGTCTTAGGGCAGCCCTTGCGGCGCATTGCATGCCCATTAAATCTATTGTTAGGATATTTGGAATGGCATCCATTTCCTCTGTGGGCGTGTGGTTCGCAGCGCACCCTTTATACAGACCAGGGCTGTCCATTCTACCTTCTGCAGCATGAGAACGGCCGTTTTGTTTTCTATGAGATGTTAACATCATATTTAAAGTGTATTAATGCTCTTTCCACCAAATATATTTAATATCTGATAAATCTGACGAAAGAAACGTATTTAAAAAAGAAAATGTTTTATTCGAACTTACATACATACATACATACATCACATCCTGCATTTGTGGTATGTTTCGAGTGAATTTTACTATCGTTTTGTTTAATTAACAAAAGCTTTATTGATTAGGGTAAAAAGTTAAGCTTGGTTCTAACTATGCTGTTGCTCTGAGAACTACATTATTTACAAAAATTAATATTTTAAGTATTTTTCCTTCACGATTTTCCAACGAGTTCTTTCTATTTTTATTTCAGTTGTCATTGCTAATCAACAAATGCGTTCCACCACTAACCTGCTCATCATCAATCTGGCAATTTCGGACATACTGTTTGTCATCTTCTGTGTGCCATTCACCGCCACCGACTATGTGCTACCCGAGTGGCCATTCGGCAATTTGTGGTGCAAATTCGTGCAGTATATGATTGTGGTCACCTGCCATTGCAGCGTCTATACTCTGGTGCTGATGTCTTTCGATCGGTTTTTGGCAGTTGTACATCCGGTGACAAGTATGTCGTTGCGAAGCGAACGTAATGCAATGCTGTAAGTAGTTGTAGCACATAACTTCATACATACATAAGTATACACTATAGCCAACGTATTTACGTTTTCATTTATTGCCGGAATCAACATTTCGTTTGATTTATCAACATTGTCAGACAATGTGACACAGAATTGAGTGTAGCGGCGTTAATGAAATCTCGTTGTCATTTTCATTTCAATTTCAGGGCCATCATTTTTGCGTGGGTGCTTATTCTGACGACAGCGATTCCGGTGGCCTTGGCTCATTCGGTGCGTCTGTACTATTTTAAAGGACGTAATTACACAGCCTGTGTATTCTCTACGGAAGAGGAAGGTTGGAATTGGGTTGCATTTCAGGTAATTGTGTTCAAATGAGTTTTTTGGCGTTGTTGATTTCTTTTTGTGTTTATGTGAAAATCTTTTAGTTTGTAACAAATAATACCTCCATACCAAGCCACATCATATAGGTATTAAGCAAAAAAAAAGTTGTTGTTGAGCTGAACTCATTCCCTACGCAAAGACAATACCACTCTGTGGCTGCCAAATGTGCAAATATACAAATCGTGTGATCCCTGCTTTAGACTTGACTTGACTTACTTAGAAATTTAAAGCTCACTGTCTTGAAAATTGTAAATCTGGCAAATGAGCAGCGCGTGTATGTAGTTACCCAAAAAAACAACTTCACTTAGAAACTTGGAGAACTATAGATTTTTGATTTATTAGTTACATTTCTCAGTGCAAAGTGTTTTAATAAAACTCCTACAAATATGCCACACAAATATGATTTTTTGCATAAATGCAATTCATCTGGCAATCGAAAAAAACTTTAAAATAAATTTACATTTTTTCAACTGTAATTTTTATTCAATTTTACGCAAAATTGTAAAAAGTTTAATTTTTTTGCGTAAAATTGAATAACAATTACAGTACAAATACAAATGCTTAGGATAAAAAAAGAGAAAAAGCAATAGATGACACGGAGAGTAATCGTTTCTAAGGTAAGTCAAGTCAAGGTCGATTATCGATAGTAATCGAACTTCAGTTGCATTTCCAGTTGCCAAAACGATATTACACATGGCAACAGGCAGCTCCCAACTGGCAACTGTAGTGTATATAAAGTAGGCCGATCAAAAAATATTGATTTTCAAGAATTCCATACCATTTCCACGAAAAGTGGTTTTTTTTTCATACAAAATACATGGCAATGTTTTAGCGCTTTGAGCGACCTCTAAATATTTTTGAATTTCAAAATAAAAAGAGTGGGGTATACTTTATTTCGATATAGAACAATCCTAGGGGGTGAGAGCATTAAAATTCTGACTTTACAATCAGCGGCCTTGAAATCCCCAAATCCACCCACTGTCCGTTGTCAATCCTCCACGTACCCCCCTTCGTCCAGGTCTCGGTTTATCTCCAACTGAATGAGGCCGGCCAATTCGTTCCTCCACAACCATTACTAGCCTTGGCCCCTGTGGCTAGCCCCAAATGAACCCTCACCCCTTTATCTGATATGATCTAGCACGGCTAAGTTCAACGCACGAAAAAAGCAAGCCACCGGACGCTCTTACTTCCAAGTGTACGCGGCAAATTAAACCTAATTACCTAACACCTAAGACGTATTGGTATTATGGCTGCTAGGCTGCGAACCAACTACTTTCGGTCAAATCAAACGTGTATGCTCACCTAAGCTTCTCTTGATCGCTGCGCCTAACTTCAACACGTGCCTTCTTCTTAAAACTATTTCTTAATTGCCAAATACATATCGAGCCCTAACCGCCAAAATAACGTAAGCGACGTTTTTTTCAAAATTTTTGTTTTGATGCAGAAATGCATCTAGATGCTCTAGTGCTGAATCCACTCGCCAAAAATGATTGTCGCGGCATTGCTATAACATCGATTCCTCGGCTACCAGGACGAAGCCACGCTGTTTCCCACCGCCGATATGAGTACTGAGACTTGTGCTCGCCAGATTTTTCGGCACCAATGGAGGGTCGTCTGCCTCCGTATGAACAAATTTGGTCGTCTTCGTTTATCATATGCTGAATAGTTAAAACTTGCGCGACTCCCGATACCCTGGGGTATCCGTAGTCAAACAGTGGTAGACATTAGTCTCTTAACCAAGCTCTGGTCGATGTTTTCGGATTATCCATGTGGTCTCGATGCTGTCCGTCTCCAAAACGAAAGAATTTTCTTTTCGCGCGAAGTTAACCGACCACGGCTGACAGGCACACTTGTGTGATTTCACAACATCGAGCTTTTTGGCAGGTACGCAAACTGCGATCGCCATATGTAGTAAACAATATTACTAGTATGCGGTGGCAATACATATATTTAGTATCCTTGATCTTAATAATTTGGGCAAAATCTTGAGCTTCGCATCCACTGTGCAAATGGATAATCGGTATTTGATCTTTTTTCAATAATTTTCACCAGTAGGCGAAAGAGTAAAAGTATCTCCATTGTGTTATTAAACATATGCATAGTAACATGAATAAAAATTGCAATTTCAATTTAATTTTGGAGCATTTTTTCTCATCGATACGTATTAATTAAGCTTAAATAGATGCAGCAATCGATTTGTTAAAATTTACTTTAATTATATCTACGCAAGAACCGCATTAACAAGAAAACTATTTGACTAAATACACATTTTTTTCGTCTACATATGTGTCTTTATATGTAGCGCCCTCAATGTAACCGTACACAAAAGTAAAGATGAAAACCAACTGATTTGAAGAAATAGAAAACCGATATGAAAATGAACGCGGGTCAACACATTTCTCAATTTCTAAGCGTATTGAAAATCTGTTTACGCACCAGTTTTCAGCTGAAACAAAGTGCGTTATGTGTCGGTTTAAGCAAGGTAATCGATTTGGCTTCTATTATTCTAACTTATACATGTTAATATGTATTTTTTATTCTCAATCAATTATTAAAAGGTGTTCTTTTTAATATGTATATATGTATCCATTTGCTTGCTCTCTCACCTTCTTACCACAATTCAAAGCTAACTCCCAATGGATAAAATATTTTCCGCCTTGATTGGAAATAGCGAAATATGCTGTCTATAAATTTTTTACGAAATATTGTTAATTAAAATCACTAAGCTAAGCTAAGATCGCTAACGGCTTGTTTCAATATTAAAGAAAGAACCCAAGCAGATCAGTTTACGCTATACCGCAATACCATTACATTTTCGTATTCGTTTTCAAATCTCAAACACAATCACGAATTACTTCGAAAATGTCCTATAAACAAAAGTTAGAATAGTACAAAAACTCACACTCATAGAAACTTTACCCAATACACGAGGTGAAGCTACCTGTAAAATATGGGGTATTCACCCAGTCTATTCTGTAGCCCGTTTCTGTAACTTTTCTCTACCAATTATTTCTCTACCAGTAGAGAAAATACGTCATTCTCACCTACTAATTAGCAGTAGAGAACAGGGCGGCGAATTCATATCTCAATTCGCCTTGGTAGAGAAATGTTACAGAAACGAGCTACTGGTAGAGAAATTCTCTACAAAATTGTAGTGGTAAACTTTATTACTCATACGCCATGTATCACCACATGTGCTCAAATTTAACAAGAAAACGAGTAAAGAAGTATGAATTCGGGCGAAACCGGATTTTATATACCTGGCGCAGGTACTTTCTCTAAATTACCTTTGCGTGATAAGCAAGGCTGATTTTTCCGATTTAAAATGCTTTCCATAATATGCTCAGTTCGACTTAAGGAATATGCCACTTTTATTTGGAGACCTTACCATGCCACACATATTAATCTATTACAACGTATTCTGAAAGTGTTTATACGTTTTGCACTTTCTAGACTTGTCATCCTTGAATAACAGAAGGACATTTTTGTCTTGCACTTTTGTGACTAATGTTATAGGTGGGTATATTGAGTGCCCTGCACTTCTGAGTAGGATAAATTTTAAAATACCTGCGTGAAATCTTAGACGTGTGGATATGTTCTGTATACCAAAGGTTAAATATAATTATACGCTTAAAGCACCTTCAGTTAGAACGTTAACCGAACTTAATCAGTGTCGTGGAATAAATAAATAAATAATTGAACCAAGTTTGATAGAAAATTCCTAAAAGTCTACAACAGTCTTATGTATTGTTAAGAGGTTATTGTAAGTGTTAATTAGCGTCCTAAGTTATTGAAATATCGGAGTTTATGTATTTCTGATATTTACCGTAATACGAGAAGCGGCTTTAATTTCAGTTCGATTTTAATAATATTCAACGAATTCCCTACCAAGGTTATTAAGTGCACCGAGTTTGATTGAAATTGATAAATCTGTCAACGAGATACACGTTTGTGGTCATAAGTGTCACGCCGCCGCCACGCTTATTATCCAAAAATTTATAATAATCTAATTTTCTGCTAAGTGGGTATTGCAATCATCGGTTTTGAGTGGATTCGGGTCAGCAGTTACTGATTTATCGCAGCTTTCGCGTTTCTGTAGATTTCAAAGATTTTCAACAGATTTCTTAGTTGGACCCTACCGGCTCCACCGAATTTGGTAAGGATTGGTGAAGGGGCTACTGAGATACAGGATTCCATCATAAGTGGACGCCCATTTTCCAAAAATTTCATAATAATATTATTTTGCACCATTTTTAACAAGCTCGAGGGCCAGTAATTAAATAAAACGCAAATCTTCGATCTATTGATATTTTAATTGTAATTAATAAAGAGTTCCTGAAGATGACCTTAGATTGAGGTCGAAATATCGACAGTTAAAATATCAGTAGAACGCTGGGCCTCGAGCTTGTTAAAAATGGTTCGTAATTTAAAATTCAAAGGCCAACAACAAAAACAAAACTATTTAGTGCCGATGTTTTTGCATTTTTCGTAATTACCGTTATATGGGAAGTGGGCGTTATAACAGTCCGATATTGCCGATTCGTAATACCAACCTACCTTAGATAATTAGCAACCCCCGTACCAGATATCTAAATTTTTGCTCGAGTTATCGTGTACACGGCCGGACGGACAGATATGGCTTAATCGACTTCTCTGACCATTCTGAGAATTTGTGTATTTATTTATCTATACCTATCACTATTCGCACCGCAGTGTGAAACTTCCCACTGGAATTATTTAACAAATTTTCTCTAAAATATTTCTTCCATCATGATTTTAAAATGAAATTAAAATGTTTTTCAGTTGATCTTCACAGTTTCATGTAAAACTAGCTTTATTCCACACGCGCTGTTCGACAATAAGAAAGTAAAAAAAAAAATAGGTTACTCTCTCACAATTATCAAACATTTGTCAAAACGTGCCTTAAGTACCCACAGCGCGAAGAACGCATAGGAACTACATTTCGTGCACGGAATTAATAAACCAACTGAAAAACAATGACTTTATTTGTATTTTTCTTATACGGGGAATAAAATTAGCAAATACCTAAATTTTTTGAATCTTTAGTAGTATTTTTCATTATTGTGTTTTATAAAATTATGTAAACAAACAACACCTGTTATGGCAATTTTAATTTACACATTGTGCCCGGAATATTGTCTGGGCTGTTTTGGGTACGAAGGAGAAGACATTTACGGTCGTAAAGTGAAACGGATCCGCTCCCTATTACCTATTTTTCAAGCGAGAGGAATGAAACGAACTTACTTACGGTCTTACATTCATACATTTAAAAAGTTTACACGAATAGATGAGATTTTATTACTAATTTCATATTTTTCTTCTTTCTTGTTCTTGCAGATATCATTTTTCTTATCGTCATATTTAGCTCCGCTAACTCTGATTTGTTTCTTGTATGTGGGTATGTTGGCACGACTTTGGCGCAGTTCCCCTGGCTGTAAGCCATCAGCGGAATCGAGGTGAGTACAGTACACTTAGAAATACTTCAAGAATTATAGTAAAGATTTATAAAGAAACTAAATAAACAAATATTTGTAAAAAAAAAAGATTTGACAAATTTATTTACAGAGATAGAACTAATTACATTCTTATAATACTAGNTAGTAAAGATTTATAAAGAAACTAAATAAACAAATATTTGTAAAAAAAAAGATTTGACAAATTTATTTACAGAGATCGAACTAATTACATTCTTATAATACTACCTGTCTTTTTCACCAGCGTTTAAAGTGAAAAAAGCTTTTTCTATTCTGTCTGTTTTCATATTAAATGCAAATCAAAAATTCACTTAAATTTCTTTCGTGAAACTGGCAATAAGTATTTGCACACAACATTAAAAAAAAGAGACAAGAAGTATGACGAATACTTTGATATAATATTCTAAAAGAGCTTGTGGTTTTTAGCGTGAGTGGATTTAAGCCAGGTCTTAGATAAAGTATGTAATATTCTTGGCAAAAATTTGTTTCTCGCCTTCCGAATTATTTAAGAAAGCATATAAGTGCCAACCAATTGAGTAGCGCACCCTTTTGATCCTCAGTATTAGCCGCTTCCTTTGCTTATTTAATATTCACCAATAAAGAAATATAAATTGCATATTCTTTAACAAAAACCATGCAAAACCGAACTTCAAATGTAATACAAAATTTATAACAATTCAAGAGGAATATATGTATGTATATAAGGTGCAAGTTTCAATTTTTTTTAAGGAGATACACATTTTTTTCCTTACAAAGTATGTTCGCATATTTTTTTATGTGATAGAGAATGTTCAAAACCCTCGGCAAAAATGAATTTTCAAAAATTAACGCGAGTTTAAAAGAAAGAATTGCTTTTATAAAGTTATTTCCTATGCCATTCGATCAATGGTAGTATTCATCTAAACCCATAAATTTATCAAGCAGATATTCCTATAAATTTAGGCGCTCTGTTACATGAACGCCCCATACTCTCCTTTCGTTTACACTTGAGACAGTAGTCGTGTTTTCTTTGGTTATCAAGCTCAGTAATTTTATACTAGTAGCACGAGGATAAAGAGATTTCAGAAATGACCTCACTAAACGGGAAAAAATTATATTTAGACGAGATAATATTCACTTAAATAACTATTTAACATAAAGGCGACTTATATGAACCAAATTAAAAGAAACAATGGCAGAATACCTGTTTGTGTATGAATTAATTTGTCACTGCCACCAAATTGTGCGGCCAAATTATCAGTGAAACAAAACAAACAGAACGGATAGTAAATTGAATCAGATTTCTATCAGGATCAAATCGCTGTTGTTGAATTTGTGTGCAAAATTTTTATGCAGATCCCGATTATTGCCCAAGAAAACACAGCTTGAGTTGCTACAGAGTTGCATTGGCTTCAGTTTATCAAGTTTATTCAGTGAAATCGTTGGAGAAATTGATGAGAAATGTGTAAACGAGTTTCCATACAAATTTTGACAGTAAATTTGAAAGGTTTACACTATCATAAGTTTATACGGTTTATAATGCATTTATAAGGTTGGATGAATACCCTTAATAACCTCTTGGGCTTCTTAACTGCAATGCACTTAGGCAAGCTAAATAACTTATGCTAATGTCTCGGAAAAATTAAAAAAAAGGTGACATTCTGCAAAATTTGATGGGAAAATTGTTTCAACGTCTTTCATGATTTCCAGTCACTTCCTTTGTGGTGAAAAAGCAGTAGTTTTTGATTTGGAACCAACATTTTTTGGTATTCAGAGACCCTCTAATATGCCTAGCATGGCAAGTTGAATTATTTTGTGATCTCTTGACATTGCAGACTGAGATCCGTGGCCACAACCATCGATAATATCGATACTATCGAAAATGTCGACACTATCGATAGTACTATCGATAGTTTTGATTAAAGTAGTCTAAAAATTAAACACAACAACTTTTATTGAATATGAGACCAAAATATGTCCATATTTTTGTTAAGGAACAAAAGTTTATCAACGATTTTTGGCTTCAAGCTGCATCTGCGCTCTGAAATTATTTGCCCTGCTTTGCTAAATGTCCATTCCGACTCACAAGATGAAAAGGTATTGCTGGATCTTACTCTTACTGAATAATTAATGTATACGTGAAAACTATCGATAGTGCTTACAAAACCATCGATGTTTTCGATAGCCAAAAAGGGTTCTTTTTCTGAACCTAAAAATTAAATACCAGGTTTTTTTCGAATAACTTGATTGGAAAAGTAGTTGATTTGTACAGTAAATTGCACTTGCGTTGTTGTACAAACACAGCAAAACACCCTGCCTCCTAATATACAGTTTACTTTCTTTGCCGCCTTGCTTGTAAAATTTAAAGGAAACAGATAAAAATTAATTACAACTAATTCGAAAGCGTGCGACANTTGTACAAACACAGCAAAACACCCTGCCTCCTAATATACAGTTTACTTTCGTTGCCCCCTTGCTTGTAAAATTATTAGGAAACGGATAAAAATTAATTACAACTAATTCGAAAGCGTGCGACGTAATTATATTAGTTTTGGGTTCATATTCGTATGAAGTGTAAATGCGAAAATTAGTTGTAGGTACTAATGGTAGACCTGATAAAATAAATGAATATTCGTGATTAATATTATTTTGTACATACATATGTAAGTATTTAGAGTATACTTAATACATACATACAAAGAAAGTATGATTGTAGGGCAACGGTCATATTAATACATACGTACGCATTTCAGCACGTATACAACTAAGTTTTTTTTTTGTTAATGGACGTTGGGATAGGGAAATTACCCATCAAATGGGCCGTGTGAAACTCTTCAGAAGCCCTCTCCCCGGAACCCCTCCCGCATTATATCGGAGTGAGGCCGTGGCATAAACATGCCCCACATATAACGCCCTTTCCATAATCCCCCGTCCACTTATGTGATTAGGGGTTCAGAAGCGTTTCGGTGTTCACAAAGATTACCTGCAAAGAAATGCAAAAAATAAAAGAATACTTTTTTTTTAATAAAGCAACTTCAACTATTTCACCTTTCTAACCGGCGGCGTAGCTCTCTGATCCTTAGCTTTGTCATTATTTCTCTTCTTCTTGATGTCAATGTATTTAATCTGTCTCTTTCAAGTGAAAACGATGCGCTATCGAAAAGTACATGTTCAGCGGTTTCCGGGGCAGTTTCACATGTATAACATGCTGTCGAGTCATCGTGACCATAATAGTGCAGGTATTATTGAAAGCAGCCGAGGCCACTAAGTAATTGAATCATGTGAAAATCCATGCGAAACTGTCCGGAAAGCGCTACAAACGTGAAAGGCACTAAGACGGGGAACAGCGTTTACAAGCTTAGCATAGGACTTTTGCTGCAGAGCATGACCCCAGACGGGAGCTGCGTACATTATAACTGATTCTGTAACTTTCGTTAGCAGTTAGCAGGAATTTCGTTACACAAGTCTTTAAAACACGCTTTCTTGCTATTTTTAATTGCATTTTTTAACCATTTCCATAAAAATTTAAAATAGTCTCTTTGGGAGTCCGTTCTTATTCATTGGCATTTTCTTCTGGCTTTATTGCATTTGGTTCGTAGAGCAGCTATTTCAGGTGTCCACCAGTAAACCGGCCCAAAAAAGGAGAAATAAAGCCCATGGGCCGCGGGCTTTATTTTCCAAAGAAAAGGAAATAACGTCAGCTTGATTTATTTCATAAAAAAAAAAATAAAGCCCTTGAGTAGTATTTTATCTGGCTTTATTTTACTGAAAGATTCCAATTATGTATACAGGCATAAATTTGCATAAAATAGAACGTATTTTAAACGAATTGCTCTCTATTTTTGCATACAGTGTAGTTCTGCGTTAAATTCCCTTCTGCAGTATACGCATAGAATTGAACGGTATTTTTGCCAATAACTGATAAGCGAATAATTGGGAATTAAAGGTAAATTTTTACTGTTTTTCAGCTTTCAATGCGATGCGCATATTTGTTCTCAGTGTCTTAGGGTTTTCCAGTGGGGGCGCGCAAACGCGGACGACCGTGGCTCGCAAACGCGGACCACCGCGGTTGTACGCCAACAGGTTGGCCTCACCGGCAAAAGGCAATTATTAAGTAAAAATTAATTTCTTTTTCGAAAAGCCAATAACGCCCGCGGGCTTTACTTCCTTTTTTTAGGAAATAAAGCCCATGGGTGATCACTCTGAATATCGACGTCACTAATCTTTGTTGGTGCTAGTGATTGGATGCAAAATGCGATGTCAATGACGGAGCCCCTGAAATTTTTCTCAAAAGTGTTTTTGTTACGTTACCTGTATTCAGTAAGAACAAGTCTAGTGAGGCAAACGCCTTTAATGACCTCGTCGGTTTGCTCTAGTGCTTCCCCATTCAACATCCCGTGCATTAAAGTCACCCGCTATAAGCATTGGAGAATATAAAATGGCGTCTATCTAGAAAAGATTCAAATAACTGAGGCTAGGTGGTACATATACATACATATATTTATGCACATGTGCGTAAAGAGCCTCATATTTGCAATTTTTATACGTCAAAAGAGAACTAATAAACTAATACATATGTATTTATGTATTTAAAATAGCAAGTATTGATAGAAAACATTCACTCGCATATGTACTACATGCATATCTATATTGTTGTATTTTCTTATAGGAAAGGCAAGCGCCGTGTGACCCGGATGGTTGTTATTGTGGTATTTGCATTCGTAATTTGTTGGCTTCCCATTCACGTAAGTATAATAAAACACGTAACTCTTTATTAATAGCATTACAGTCAGCTTCAGTGTTCACAATCAAAAAAGGTATTTCGCAATTATCGACGTGCATGTGAAGATTGCTAGGGGGCTTTTCAGTTTTATTGTGTGTCTGCTAAATTTGGGTTAATAAATTGCTAATCATTACAACTGCATACCAGTAATAAGACTATGTAGCAAGAATAAATGAATTTAGGAATATCATATGCCTAATTGTTTTAAAAAGGACATATCGAGCCCTAACCGCCAAAATAACGTAAGCGACATTTTTCTAAAAATTTTCTTTTTGATGCAGAAATATTCCTAAAGCATCTAGGTGCATTTCTGCATCAAAAGAAAAGTTTTTAAAAAAATGTCGCTTACGTTATTTTGGCGGTTAGGGCTCGATATGTATGTATGCACATTAGCCATATGACCTTTTTGAAAAAAAAAAATATTATGTTTTTGTGTAACTTGTTTCAAAAAAAACCTCCAGCAGCGAACTGTAATTTTAATTTGTCCACTTCAGTTTTATTTAATTTATTTCAATTAAATTTAAATAGTATAGATTATAAATTTGAATATATTAATTTTGAATTCAAAGTACGCGGCGTGTTGCAGGTATAAAATAATTTGTCTGTAGATGAGGAGATTTTTTATGATTTGAAAACTGGTTGGAAATGACGGCCAAAATCGTCGTTTAAAACTTTCCATTCTTTCTTTCCTTTCTTCCATTCCATCGTTATATTTTCAACTTATTTTGAACTTGCAAAATCTCGATGACGAATGGTGAGAACTTGAATTGTTCGATCATAAGGATATTCATATTGATTCTTCATTAGATCCAGAAAATTATAGGAAAAAGGTTTTTGAATTAAAAGATTCTTCAGGTTAATATAAGTTTCCCAATTAAAAAAATATTATATCTGCATTACTAATATAGGCATTTTCTAAGGATTCTGTAGGACGTATTTAGTAGTTTAGAAATGTGTAGGAGTGACTTCAGGACCAGATTGAGCACTGATATAGTTAGCAATATTATATACAAACCAAGGCATAAAAAAATTACGGTGATACTTTGTTTGAACCGCAAGAACAAATGTACCAATTGAATTGGAGAATGTAATTAATATTTATACTAAGTACCTGTAAATAGTAGGCAGTACACAATACTCATATCTGTAATAAGAAATGTTGAGTAATTTGTTCGGATGTTGAGTATTTTTTATTTGCTTTTGAGGAATTTGGTAACTTTTTTGTGGCAAAACTGAGTTTTACAGATATAGCTGATGTTCGGTTCATCACGTTTGAAAAGGTTAATTCACTAAATTGCAATTATCATCAGACGAGGTGAGCGAATTTCAGTTGTATTTTCCTTAAAATACAGTTAATTAAATTTCCTATTAAAGTTGTATAGAACACTTTTCATTTAAACGATCGGCCTCGATATTTCTGGGAATGTCGCAATATAAAAAAAAATAATTATACAAGTATTCAAACTTTTCGGTAGGTTTCCTGATGGAGGTTTTTGAAAAATTAAGATCATACCCCGTTTTTATATATAAAAAATCATTGCATCATACCATGTAGATTGAATTTTTCCAAAAAAAGTTGAAAAATATGAGATGAGCTAGTTTTTCTTTAAGATAGGCCTTAAATTGATCTTTAACTTTACAGTTTTTAATGTCTCCAGATTCCACACCCGAGCCTTCGCTTTCGCTGGATGTACCTAAAATTATTTCTAGGTTGCTTATAAGTCTTTTAGCAGTACTGTTTGAAGGCCCATCAATGTTGCTTGATATACTACTTAATCGTTTAGCGCCTAAAGCTAAAAGCCGGTTAGTGTCCGCACTTTGGTTAGACAGACTTAGAGACATTTAAATAATATTAGAGTGGCCCATGTACATATTCGCATTCGCGAAACATTAGTATCATTTGATGTCAATGCGAATGTCGAATTCGAAAATAAATATTCGCAACATCCCTGAACTCCAGAGCTCCTAACATGATTTTGAACCTGGACTACTCTAGGCTTGGAAAATTTTGTAAAGTATGTACATATTTTGTTTGAAAATATATTAAGTAATTTGCTCCAATTTAAATGTGCCCATGTACATATTTGCATTCGCAAAACATTAGTATCATTTGATGTCAATGCGAATGTCAAATTCGAATATAAATATTCGCAACATCCCTGAACTCCAGAGCTCCTAACATGATTTTGAACCTGGAGCACTCTAGGCTTGGAAAATTTTGTAAAGTATGTACATATTTTGTTTGAAAATATATTAAGTAATTTGCTCCAATTTAAATGTGTAATTAAATTAAAAGCAAGTACATGGGTATGCACTATTTTAAAACACGTATTTTACCTAAATTTGGATAAACCACATTAACACGAACTACTAGGCGTATGAATAACCTTAACTTGCTTGTGTCAAATAAAATGAAATCAAGATGACTTCATAAGACGACGATAGCGTTGAAGTTAATTAAGATGTGTAAAAGGATGTGCGCAGAGAAATGTAATTAAAATTGGAACTAAATTTCTTCTACGTCAGTACTATGTACAATATGTATGTATGTTCACAGCTTGTGGCCGTAATAATTAATAACAGTTTGGGAGGAATTTGAAGAGCGGCATTTTAGGATGGAGTGATTTTTTTAATCGCTTTTCTAAAAAATTATCTTCTAAGACTAGAAAAAATTGTTCGAAATATATGTTATTCGCCACATCGTAAGTTGAAGGGTGGTCCGGACAATATTAAGTTTAGAAAAAAAAGCTAACGAAATCAATGTTTTTATTTTCACTTCACGACTTTATGAACGTATATGGGGAAACCTTTGGAGAAGGGGATTTTTCAATTAAATCAATTAAATCAAAATTAAGCTTGAAACTAATGTAGAGGTGGCCAGAAAAATAGTGTTCTTTGGGTGATGTCTAGCACTTCCCTTCTAACAGAGGTCACAAAGGTAGGATCGTTCCCACGGTTACATACAGTAAGATTATATAAATGAATAAAGTCAAGTAAACACTCGCCTCGGAAGTTGGTGTCGCTTGAGCACCAGATTGTGTTATGGGAATTAGAGTTGGCCCCTATCATGGCCTTCACAGCTTCTTCCAGTATATAGGGTGGAACAATTGGCTGTCGTGGGCCATGCAAGTGTTTTCCACGCTGTCCTTCAGTTGGACGCTGATGCAGACAGTGTCCTCGTCGCTGTATTGGGAGAATAAAAATGAGAATATACTTTTTTAATTCGAATACAAGCTCTGACCCTACCTGCTACTGGAGCTGTTATCAGCTGGTAGGCATCAGAGTTCAGTCCGAAAACCTTATTTCAGACGATCCAAGATTCTGCGACTAGACTCAAGTCCTCAGGTTTATCGCTGTGGCGAAGAAGGAGATCAGCCGAGACTGCCTTGGAGTGGTGCAGATTAATTTGTAATATCTGCACCATCCGACGAATCAGTGATGTCCATTGCTTCTAGCTCTCTCCGGTCAGCGGCGGCAATGACTGTGATGTCATTGTCTTCCTCCTCTGGTTCTGTCTCTCTATCTCTGTATATCGACCCTAGACAGATCTGTCGCGGTATCGTATACACTCGTTAGTCGGTCCACAGGTCTATTCATGGTGTTTCCTGTGTATCCCACTCTGCCTGCCACCGATGCCTACTCGGAGCCCCAAGTCCGCTCGAAGCGTTGCCTGTTTTATTTGCCCCTTCGTCGGGAAGAATTATGTGAAGGAGCGGGTCCGCTCGAGGCAATGTCCGTCTTCTTCCCTTGCTGATCCGCTCTCTGGTGGATTTTTACTGTGATGTAGTAAAAGCCGTAGCTAATTACCCCACCACAATCCCCGAGAACGGGGACAGAAGCATCGTTGATGACAAAGCCAAAAAAACGCTGCTTCCCCTTGGTCCCGCCAACTCGGACTATCCTCCAATCGCTGGTGGGCACTCCGTCGTTTCCCAGTCGGAAAAACTCGAGTATCTCCTCCGGTTTTGACGGCTCAGCTGGTACCCTGGCCGAAGTTCGCGACATATTAGGGATTTCATCTCTATGGAATGCAACTAAATCTGCCCCGGGCCACAGCTGTCCAACCGTGGAGAAAGCTTCCTTATAGATTCGGACCGCGCGCTCATCGGCACATGCTACTAGCTTAACTTGCCCTTGATGACACCTGGCATCACGGACGATTGGTGCAGGGCTGGGGTACTTCTGGAGTATCCCTTTGTATAGCCTGCATAAACCCCTCATAGACTTCCAGTTCTCCGTGGTAGTGTCACCGTCCGGATGACTCTTGTCCAACACTGCTAGCGTGAGGTGCTCTTTGGCGTCCTCACTGAACGGCTTCGTGTTGGATACGGCCATGGACGGACGGCTATAGGGGAAGGAAGCCTTAGGCCTCTTGAAACCACTCAAGGTGTTGTCCTGAGAACGCTGTCTCTTGGAGGCTAGGTCCTTCATTGTGTTTTCCCGAGTAGGTGGTTTGTCCTTCCCGGCTTTCCCGGGGGTTTAGCAATCCTTCCAGCTTCTGTGGAAGCCCGAAGCTGCTGGCCTGCTGGTGTTTTGGATTTCTTATCACCGTATCCAGCAAGGGCACTACCCGTGCAGGGTTTCGAGACTACTTTATTATTAAAATTCATTTTACTGGTTCTTTGCCCACCTACTGAGCCGCGCCCTTTCGGTGACAGGAAAAAATAGGAAAGGGGGAAAAACGGTCGACCACGGCAGAGCCCCATGACGCAGCAAGTCCACTATTACTCCGGGAGGCGGACAGAATACAGTCGGATAGCCACCTAACCGCAAAACTTAGATCCATTGTGTTCTGTGCAAACAGGGTTACCTCTTGCAGGTTCTATTTCCCTATGGGCTTGATGTAGGAGTGGATGGGCATAAAGGGTCGCCTGTGTGCTGTGTTACGCTTCATCCACACCCTGCAATTTCGGTCAACCTTATATGTGAAATAAAAGTCTCTCTCCCACCATAAATCCAAGACCAAATTTGCGCTCCTTTACGTGGCAAATGTAGTAGACGTCGCAAGGCTCCACGCTTACTTTGCCTTGCCCCGTCCATCGCATTTCATGGATGGCGGCGATGTCAGCTTTTATTTTCCCAAGGAAATTAGTCAGCCGGGCAGAGGCACCTTCCCGACTAAAGGTCCGAATATTCCAGGTACATACCCTCAAATCATAATCCTTCCTACGTTTGCCGTGATCGTCATCAAAAAACCAAAAAATCCGAGGCGAGTGATTTTTTTCATTGGGCAGAGTTTTAACGTGGCGGAAGCCAAACTCAGCGCACGCGGATGTTTACTCGTTACCCAGAGGATACATGGATATAAATATCCAGACCTAGTGAACTGCAATTTCAACCGTAAGCACACGAATCACTTAAAGCCACTCTCAGGCGAATGGCAGTCAGAAGCTTTGCAGTCGATACACTTTTCATACCACATATCTCTGGAAGTATTTTGGTACAGTCCTGGTACTTGGTGTGGAGATTTTGAAATCAATCCCATACTCGCGGAGAACAGTGGGGGATATTGGAAAAGTGAGCGTCACGCCTTCCAAACATACTGAAACTTTTACCTAGCTGTAAATACATACATATATAATTCTTCGGTACGTGTGTTTGGGAGAGAACTCCTACACAACTTAAAGCGCCAGGTGGCTCTGGAGTCGAGTTGTTTCTAAAATACGTATTTATGATCCGATTTGCCTCATAATCGAGATATATAACGGTACGGGCAATACTATTGCAAAAGAAAAGATCTGCATGGTTGCGCTGGAGTGGAGTTATTGGTAAAAATCGTCAAGTGAAGTCATTGGGTGACACCAGGGATCAAAGTTAAATAAATCACCAGAACCTTTCCGGTCCTTTTTTAACGGCAGNGACACCAGGGATCAAAGTTAAATAAATCACCAGAACCTTTCCGGTCCTTTTTTAACGGCGAATAAACAGAATAAAGGCAATTATTGGTAAATGGCTACAAATAAAATTGTAAGGTATTTAAGATATTTCGTCTGAAATAAGCCTATGTCTATTAGATTTCTGCGGACGAATGATAATTTGAAGTTGCCACCAACTGTACTCTACAGATTCATGGACGATTCATCATAGAACCGAATCATTGTTGCCACAAGAACTTCTTCACGGACATAACGCTTTAATTAGGCTATTTAAGAAGGCAATGGGGGATATACGTTCTGGCGACCACAAAACCAAACGTGAACGTGAATTTTTGCTGAAACTCAAATGTTTCAATAAAAATCAATTTTGGGCGAGTCGAAGTTCGCCGGGTCTGCTAGTAACATATAAACAAATAAAGCACATATTCCTTGGCGATCCCAATGGTGGCGATCCCATGACAGTAGCTATTACTTTCATGTCTGCACATATTCTCCACTGGAATTGCTCATATTGGATATAGTTTAGGGGGACTTTCAAGTTATTGTACGTTTCAATCTTATTTATTATTGTACGCTAATGGAACGGGTANTGGGCGAGTCGAAGTTCGCCGGGTCTGCTAGTAACATATAAACAAATAAAACACATATTCCTTGGCGATCCCAATGGTGGCCATCCCATGACAGTAGCTATTACTTTCATGTCTGCACATATTGGAATTGCTCATATTGGATATAATTTAGGAGGACTTTCAAGTTATTATACGTTTCAATCTTATTTATTATTGTACGCTAATGGAACGGGTTGTATGCTTTTGTCTTTATATAACACGACTGATTTTAAACTGACTTTATTTGAGTCTATGAAGAGGCGCCAATCAGGCGGATCGTAACTTATATTCATCTCGTTCACGGTAGCATCATTGACAGTAGGTGAAAGTATCAGCGTCATTTACAGGGACAAATTGGTTTATAGGTGTTTGCGTTTTACGATAGCCCGACGTTCTAACATCGTGTGCCAAGTGGTTTGCACTCTTCAAAAATTTGGCCAACTCTTTGTATTGCTAATTAGTAATTCTTTTTTAAATTTTTTTTATAAAAAAAGGTATTTTTTGGTTTAAATTGTTTTTTAGTTATAAATCAATCCCTTTAAAAAATTTCATTTGATCCGATACCCAGCCGACTGCTGTGCAGTATAATTAGACATTTATTGCTGGGTTATGTAAGATTATTAAAATATGTAATTATTAAAGTTAAAAAGGGGAAACAATTAATGATTAATAATCTTAAAGGAAATTTAACAGTTCTATATCGAAAATGCTATTTTCGAAGCACATTTAATCATATAAAAAACATAAGATAATTTATATGATTTGCTATTATTTATATGAAAACTCGTTTCCTCTTTTCTCACGAGTTAACTTCTTTTTTACAGGTCATTCTCGTGCTGAAGGCGTTGAATAGATATCCTGGTACACCTTCGTCAATAATGGTACAAATTGTCTCACATGTTTTGGCATACACCAACTCTTGCATTAATCCATTTTTATATGCTTTTCTATCTGATAATTTCCGAAAAGCGTTCCGGAAGGTGAGCGCAAACCGCATCGTAGTTCAACACACTTGCTTTTCTTTTTACGTGGTGGTTTTTACAAGATTATTTTGATATCCCGGAGTATTTGTTTGCAATTTTAATTTGCTTTCATCTTGCTATGAATTTTTCGTGATAAAATTTCCCAATTCCCTGGCTAACCGCGTAAAAAGACGATCACGGGTGCAACTATTTTTTTTTACTTTATAAAGAAATATTTTTTACTATTTTCGGCAGATTGTGGGCTGTATTCAACAACCGCTTATTGTCACTCGTCAAATAACCAAGACGACCCGAACCACCGGAAATGGACCCTCGAACGTGGATATGCTTTGAGCATTGGTTTCTGAAGCACAAAACCTTTACAATATTCTTAATGTTCAGGTTTCGGTTTTTGGCTATTACTTAAGATGAAAAAATATAAAAAACCTGCAGTTAATTTTAGTAAGTGTGCTACAGTATAAATATGTATGTATGTGATAAAATCTATTATAAGTCAACTAAGATGTGAATCTTAATTATAGGTTTAGAATATATATAAATTAAATGTGGTTTCTTGATACAATTTATTTAGAAATTTTAAACGCGATGTTGAGGAATTGAATGAGATACAAAAGTACATACACATGTAAAAAATATAAATAATTATTACAATAATTAAAAACTATTTTCTGTATACATTTTTAAAACAACTTGTGAATATTTGAATTTTTTAATATACATACTTACATAGCTAATATGTATTTTGATATTTGAAACTGTAATTCTATTAACTAATTGTTAAAAATAAACTTTATGTTGTAATTACAAATGCTCATGAAGTCGTACTTAATCGAAATGAATTTTTTTTATGAGTAGCTGTCGATTTTGCCAGCAATTTAAGTACATATTTAGGTGCTATATAAATTAAATTAATAAAGTATTTTCCACTTAAACTACTTTACTAGATACTTTTCGTCCGATACAAGTGCTTTTGCTAACACTACTTTTGAACTAAGTACTGAAAAGGTATCGAAAAAACTTTCATCGAAACCCGATACCTTCCCAATATGAATCGTTATGTGCTTTATGGCTGCTTAAATACCAGCAAAAACCACGAGAAGGTGTCGATATAATGCAAAGTATACACAATTAAATTGCTTCACCAAAGTCGATTTAATGCGGGTTTTACTCGGCCTATTTGTTCGAGTTGAAGTGTTCAGTGCAGACGTACAGAGTAACTCTATTAAGCTTCGCGCTGAAGGTAATATTGGACAATAATGAGGTAGGGGAGACTAGTTCTGTTATTAGGTTAGGCTAAGTTAGTCTGGCCTTCGTTCAGCCGCACATAGACCGATGCTAAGGATCTGCATTGCCAGCTGGAGCTCGTTTTTACGCGTTAAAGTAGACATCACTGAGGATGCCAACGTTTTTTTTACGAATTAAAGTAGAAATTTCTACTTTTGAGATGTCCTCTAACTTCTCGAATTGGGAGGCTCTCAAGTATTTTAGTCGTGTTTTTGCCAGTGCAGGACGTCGGCAGAAAAGATGCTCCGAGGTTTCCCTGGTCTCCTGCTCACGACTCTTCCTGCACCTCTCCACGTCTCCCTGTCAAGATTTTTTTCCACCATTTTTAGGAGGAACGAGGTCAGACTTATGGGCCTGTACTCCTTACAGAAAACTGGGTTGATCTTGCCTGCCTTGGGTATAAACAAAACACTCGCTTCCCCCATAGTAGTGGCACATAGCTCAGCCTCAAAAAGCCCAAAAATATGGCCTTCAGCCATGGTACCACAAGGGCTCAAAACTGTTGATTGGCCATTATACTTTGGAAGAAGTTATGACGATTGTGGGATGCTACTCGCTATACCTTCTATACCCCCCCCTATCGAGGTCTGTCTGGTTCATGCTTCCCGGAAAGTTTGTGCTGACAAAGACCTCTACCGACTCCTCGCTTGAATTGGTGCGGTCCCCGCAACTCTTACGTATCAAGCAAGGTGCGCTTGGAATCTTGGTTTGAAGTCTTCTAAGGCTCCCACCTCGTTTGTTTCCTCTAAGTTCTCACATAAGTTCCCCTTTGCCTTTCGCACTTCTTTTTTATATGACTTGAGTAAGTTTTTGTACATTTCGTCAGATGCATTCCTTGCCTCCTCTGGGGTACCCCAGGGAAGTATTTTAGGTCCTTTACTTTTTATATTATTCATAAATGACATTAGCTCATGTTTTTCATTCGCAAATTTTTTGCTATATGCCGATGACCTGAAAGTATTTTCAATGATCAGAAACGAAAGTGATGCTGCTTTGCTTCAGGCCGACATTAATAATCTCAATCTTTGGTGCATAAAATCACGCCTCTCTTTAAATATTAAAAAGTGCTTTAAAGTAACTTTTGCAAAAATTCATAGTCCTTTATCAACGAGTTATAAAATCGCGGAGACTTCGCTAGACTCTGTTGCCGAGGCCAAAGATCTTGGCGTCATTTTTACTTCAAATTTTTCTTTTAGTAGGCATATTAATCTTGTGATTTCTAAATCCTTCTCTGTTTTGGGTTTCGTGAGGCGGAACTGTGTAAAATTCTCTGATCCCTATACTATTAAATTACTATACTCATCTTTTGTTCGTCCCATTTTGGAATATGCTACATATATTTGGAGGCCATTCCACAAAACTTTTATAAATAGGTTAGAACGTGTCCAAAAGGTGTTTCTTAAGTTCGCATTGCGGTCCTTAAACTTTTCGGATCCTATACCACCGTACAGTAGTCGTTTGCTTTTGCTTAACCTTAAGTCATTGGAAACGAGGCGTTCTGTACTTTCCCTGACTTTTGTTTTTAATATTATTAATGGTAGTGTGGATTGTCCTTTTCTCTTAGGTCGCATAAATTTCAACATCCCTCAGCGAGTCTTGCGTAACATTTTGCCGTTCTATTGTGAAATCCATAGAACTGATTACGCGCGCAATGCCCCCTTGGTACGTACCTTAAATGAGCTTAATTTGATCTCGAATTCTATCTCACTTGATTTCTCTTACTCAAGAAATTTGTTTATTAATCTTTTGTATTCTTTCTTTTGAATCTTGTATCCAGTTTAATCAATAGTTTTAGTGTCCTGCATATATTAATTTTGTAACTAGTCTGTAAGAAACTACTGTTTCATAGACGAATAAATAAATAAATAAATAAATAAATAATAAGGTAAGAATGCCGTGTGTTCCCAACTCCTTCGTCAAGTTAAATTTTTTTGTTGTACCTGAACGACTTAGCCTCCATATCATCTGGTATTTTCTTATAGCGTTCCCAATTAGTATTTCTAGGACTTCTGAGGACCCAACTATTTCTTTTGGGAGAGATCAAAATGTCGAAACTTATATATTTGTGGTCGGAGAACGGCGGCACCTGGATCACCCTCTAGTTATCCACCTTCGTACGACTAATCGTGAGGAGAGTTAGGTCAAGAACGTTCCTGGATGTGGGTCCAATATACGTCGCTTCTTCGCCTCTATAAGCTACTTTTAAGTCTTTTTGTAATATAAAGAAAATATCTTTTATTTAAGTCCGCGCTACCCCACACCGTATGATGGGAATTCGCGTCTGATCTTACTATAAACGGTTGCTTCCTAAGAGCGCAAATTTCTTTACCACAACTGCCATTCTTACCTTATTATGCATGTTGGGAACACATGTAGTGTAGTTTTCTGACTGGAGGCCACAAACTAGGCTGCCCAATGCGAGACAAGGTTCCTGGACTAAAGCCGCATCGGAGCCGGCCTCTTATAGGTTGGGGAGAAGCTCGGCTGAAGCGATTTTACTTTTATGGAGATTTATTTGAAGGATCTTAAGCATTACCTTTAGGCGCCTTCTCAGGGTTGGATGCAGTATCCAGCTCACCGGTCTCCACATTGCGTAGGTTGAGAGAGGACTGTAGGATCTCTTCGATCTGTCCCCATTTCCCTAGATTCAAGCGTGTTATGGTTGTTGTCGGCATACTACCTACGCCCCAAGCCATCTTGCCCAATCGAGCATATAGAATGTCCTCGGCCGTCTAATTTATCTGGAGGATGTAGTGCTAGCCACCCCCATTTGACAGTGACTTGGCCTAGATCAACACCTTCCAGTCAGCCGTCGGTACGTCGGGGTTTTCTCTTTGCAGTAGGCGCAGCGCATGCTCCGGTTTCATCTGGCGAGGGATGTGAACCTTTGCCTTCCAGATCGACGGAATCTCGCTACGATCTACTGTCTCGAAGGATGCCCACTCCCATAGGCCTTGGAAATCTATAACCACTTCCTTTACCCTTTATTACAACGGATCATCCTTACAACTTATGGTTTGACGCCGCTAAACCACCCTGTTTCGTCAAATGTGGGCATAGGTGTATCCGGCCTCGCGTCCATTCTCATGAATAGGGCTTCAAGCAGCTTCATTTCCACCTCTCTTGCGTCATATGTCGGAGCGGGTTACTGCGGTCGATGAGCGCCACCACCAGATGTCGCCTAGCAATCAGTTGTATGACGTTTGGCCTCGTAGCCTCGTCCCTACATTTCGGTTTCTTTAGAGGCTTTGCTGCCTTTTCTTCAACAGACCGCTGCCTTTTGCTCGCCTGCGCTGCCACAATCGGCTCATCAATCCAGTTTGCGAGATTCGGATCCTTAACTGAGAATTGTGGCTTCACAGCGTAGTAAACCGTTCAGGAAGAGCATACTTGGATTTGCCCGGAGAGCGTAGAAGAGCCTCTGATGACTTATCGCCTTTCTGGGAGACATTAATTGACATATAAATCGTCCAGAATTTTTAAAAGAACGAATGAATCGTCTCCTAATTGTTGTTGTGTACCTTACTTGGTAATTGGTAGGGAGTCCCATACGTATGTAGGTAGATACAAAATATTGTCAAGATAGCTAATGCCAGCTTCTGCACGCAGCTAATATGTCTAACATGTCTGGAAGTGAATTCGAAGTTAATAAAATTTTAGTATTAGCATTTCTGGACAAATTGGATGATGGTCTCTCTAATTCGATTGATTCCAACGCTTTCCTTGTTTCGACAAATTTTTAGTCAGTATTAAATTACACTGAATCTCAATCAGCTGAATTTCAAAATCTTCGATTTTTAACCAATAAAATTTTAGACAAGTTCATTTTATCAACTGAAGTTATATCAGGATACGTAATAAATTTGAGTGTTTCCGATAACTCCTTGAATTCAGAAAATCGATTAAATTTCTTCGAAGAGAGAATTTTATACCAAAGAGAACCCTTTGCTGCCCCTTCCACCGTCTGATCTTGCATGCAAGTCTAAATCAGATTTAAATTTTTTTTTTAGTTTAGGAAGCATTTGTAATTTTTGGAAATAATATCTTTACCTGAAACTTTCAAAGGGGTGTCAGCAAGGTGCAGAGAAAAAAGATGACGTCTACAGGGCTGGCCGACAGCAAGAATTCCCGAAAATTTTACCAAAGAGTTAGCCGACTTGCGGAAAGTTTCAAGACCAGGGCGTACTGCTANGCTCAAAACTGTTGATTGGCCATTATACTTTGGAAGAAGTTATGACGATTGTGGGATGCTACTCGCTATTTTAGACAAGTTCATTTTATCAACT